CTGGGTATTATTTAAACAAATTAGATACAGAGTTATGATCAGCAAGGGTGACTCTACCAAAATTGTGAAATTCATGGCCCCGGGGTCAGGGGTTCTGGTGCTGGGGGGGGGGGGGTATATAGATCATATAGTGAAAGTGCATTATTTCTTTAAAAATCTTCTTCTCTACTCCTTGGTATTATTGAAACAAATTGAATACATAGTTATGATAAGCAAGAGTGACTCTACCAAAATTGTGAAATTCATGGCCCCTGGGTCAGGGGTTCTGGTGCTAGGGTGGGGCTATATAGATCGTATAGTGAAAGTGCATTATTTCTTTGAAAATCTTCTTCTCTACTCCTGGGTATTATTTAAACAAATTAGATACAGAGTTATGATCAGCAAGGGTGACTCTACCAAAATTGTGAAATTCATGGCCCCGGGGTCAGGGGTTCTGGTGCTGGGGGGGGGGGGGGGGGGGGGTATATAGATCATATAGTGAAAGTGCATTATTTCTTTAAAAATCTTCTTCTCTACTCCTTGGTATTATTGAAACAAATTGAATACATAGTTATGATAAGCAAGAGTGACTCTACCAAAATTGTGAAATTCATGGCCCCTGGGTCAGGGGTTCTGGTGCTAGGGTGGGGCTATATAGATCATATAGTGAAAGTACATTATTTCTTTGAAAATCTTTTTCTCTACTCCTGGTTATTATTTAAACAAATTAAATACATAGTTATGATAAGCAAGAACGACTCTACCAAAATTGTGAATTTCATGGCCCCTGGGTCAGGGGTTCTGATGTTAGGGCAGGGCTCTATTGATTATATAGTGAAAATGCATTAATGCTTTAAAAATCTTCTTCTCTGCTTCTGGGTATTATTTAAACAAACTAAGTACATTGTTATGATAAGCAAGGACACCTCTTCCAAAATTGTGAAATTCATGGCCCCAGGGACAGGGGTTCTGGTGCTAGGATGGGGCTATATAGCTCCTACAGTGAAGGTGAATTATTTCTTTGAAAATTCTCTTCTCTGCCCCTGGGTACTATTTAAACAAACTAAGTACATTGTTATGATATGCAAGGATGCCTCTTCTAAAATTGTGAATTTCATGGCCCCAGGGTCAAGGGTTCTGGTCAAAAGGGGGGGGGGGGGGGGGCTTTATTGATTATATAGTGAAAAATCAAAATTTCTTTGAAAATATTCTTTTCTGCTTCTGGTTAAAAAGCAAAGAAGCTAAGTATATAGTTATGATGAGCAAGTGTGCTTCTTCCGGAGTAGTGAATTGCATGACCCCTGGGTCAGATGTGCTGGTATAAGGGTGGGGCTGTTGATAATGTAGTGAAAATGCATTAATTCTATTAAATAATTCTGTCTGCTCCTTAATGTTAAGCAGTTAAACAAAGTGATTACTTATGATGAGCAAACTTGAAACTTCTGGTTCCAGGGTGAGAGGCTCTGGTGTTTCTCGGTGGTGAAGGGGTGGGGGGGGGGGGGTGGGGGGGAGGTGCTCTATTGATAATATAGTGAATCTGTAGTGAAAATGCATTATTTCTTTAAAAATCTTCTCTGCACTTGGGCATATCAGAGGCAAAAAGTGTAAAAGTTGTAATAAGGAAGGGTATTTTTACCAGATTTTTGAACATCTGGACCATTTGGTCAAGTGTTCTGGTCCTAGCCAGGGCTCAATTAATTTGCATTCTACTGAGAGGAGTTATTCCCCTTTGCTGTTTACTTTTGATAATTAATCACTGTAAATAATGTACTTGAAAAATTAATAGAATAAGAGAATTATGCAAGAATTTTTATTGTATAATGCAAAAAGTATTTTCGTAGTTTTAATGATCATGTGGACTTGTAAGTAATAGATAAATAAAAATGAGACAAAAATAACTTGTCTTATTAAATGTTCATCAAAGACCAAGAGAGGCCAATGTAAGAGATAGCAACTGTCAACAAAGAATTAAAATAGTACAAAGCACTGATAGTTTGTTAATATACTGTATGGTGATAGTGATAAATGGGGAACAGATTAGAACCTAATTTATGAACTGTTAATGAATAGTAGACTAATTATTTTGTTGATCCTGATCTCCCTATTTTTCATGCTTTTGGGCAACAAAGCTTCACCTTTCATTTCATTTTAATACTCTATGGATCCTCTAAATTGTTGTATTGTACTCAGGTGACCGTTAAGGCCCTTGGGCCTCTTGTTTGATTTTGTTTTTGTTTTTTTGTTTTTTTGTTTTTTTGTTTTTTTTTTCTTTGGTTTTAATTTTGTTTTACTTTATAAAAAATGTCTATAGGAATAACATATTTTTCACTGGAAATAAAATATATACATGTAGTAATGAACTTATTTACATTAAATTATTTAAAATGCCGGATAAAAATTATAATAGATATTTGAATACTTTTATTCCCGTTTTTATTTATTTTAAATAAAAGCGCTTCTAGATCACCATTATCATTACATACGATGTTAACATTTTTATAATACAGTACAATTCGTTTATTATCATAGTTTATTTGTCAGGCCAAAACTTTATAATAAGCGACTTTTATAATAACCATAGTCGGCTGAAATTCATGTCAGACGGCTGACGATACGACGTTTGTGTAAATTATTGGATGTATGATACATCTTATGTTACATATAATTTCGATTTTTTAGGTTTATTTGAAATACAAGTTAACTGACATATCATTTCACAATATTTACTTACTGTTTCAACTTTTTATTATAAATAAATTCACTTAAATAAAGCTTAATACTCTTCAAACTCAATCTTCTAGATCCCTTGGCATCCATCTTGTTTATTTTGATCTACTTTCATTTTCAATTTATGGTCAATTTTAATTACCAATGTTTCGTTTCGTTTCGTTTTTTTTTTTTTTTTTGGTCACATATTAAATAAATTAAGACAGCAACAAAGCATGCATTCAAATTGTTTCTTTTATTCATCCAAAGTAGACATAAAAAAATTACCTGTTTACACATAATGTCACCGTATAATTAAAATTAATTGATACACTGATGAGCATATGCATTCAAAGCCGCTTGGACAGACTGGTGAAAGAGTTAATTTCCCTTAATTATTTCTTAATTAATCGGGTAGTTTTGTAAATATAATTAACTATGAACATTGATCCAGACACCAAGCGTAAGAAAGCTTGGGTTAATATTGACACTAAATTTAGTTTCAACACATTTGGTAAAACTATTTATTACGAACGTACAATTCAGGATTAACTTAAGAAGAAAATAAGTTATGAAAAAAAAGAGTCAGTGTTTTCCTGTCATGTACTTCATGAAATAAATAGACTCCCTGCCAATCGCTCAGGTAAGTGCACTGAAGTGTGACTAATCTCCCCAGTCTTTCACTATCGGCAAATTTCAAAGTGAAAATCAAGCCATTGTGTATAGACAAGCGACAGTGCATGAACCACAGGTGTAGATAGGTGTTATCTTTTGTTTTGTTGATTGTCCCAAGAGTGAAAAGGTGTGAAAAAAATATTACGGACGGAAATTTTCTATTATAGTAAGCGAAGTGTATACTTTTACCTATGATAATAACAGACGAAATTTATAATGAATTATTAAGAAATGGTTTTGTGTTTCAGATATCTATGATAAAAAAAGAAGTATGATATAAAACCGGTATGATAAAAAACGAATTGTACTGTATCTCCACAATAAGTGTAAACACTCAATATGCAGATTAATTAATAGAAGTCCTTACCCATGTTAGACATTTGTGACAGTAAATGAAAGTCAACTGTTTAGCTTGTTTAGAATATAAATATCATTTTGAAAACTACGGTAAACATTAAAATGCTTAAGTAAACTCGAACAATTGAGAGATTTTTTCCAATAAATGTTCTTGCATAGCCGAAAAATGGGCATGGGCACATGGCTCGTCTTATCCCCCCAGATTCTTTTCACAGTTTTAACAATTTTTCTGCAAAAGGGAATAGAATTTAAAAAGAAGAGGAAATTATTTTTAGCAATGGACATGTCATGTTTTCATAGGCACGTCATGGGTCCCTATATTCTATTAACATTTAAAGTTGGCGCCTTAGAAAAATTGCCTGGCGATGAAAAAGTTGCATTGGCGACTGAATTTTTTTGATAAGGCGCCAGCTGGCGCATAAATTTTAGAGGCCACTTAGAGGCCTGCATTGAAAATATTGCAATACATATCGCAATACAGTTAAAAATATTGCAATATATCGCAATACGAAATTTCCAGCTGATACCCAGCCCTGCTTATTACTTATAAGATAGGGATTTTTAGAAAAATCAATTTCTTTTTATGTCAAACATAGATACTGGGGTATTCATTTTTTAATGTCAATTGAACTGATTTGAAAATATGGAGGACCTGAATCGAAACTTAAATCCGAGGACGTCTTGAATTGTCCTATCCCTACAAATTTTCAGAGGTTGAATTATCTTCTTTGAGAGGGGAATATTAATAATAATCTGTTGTTGATAATTGAGTCAGTGATTTTAAGCTTTTATAAATACCTGAGTTCATTTTTAGCTCTACTGGTCTTCAAATGTCAGAACTCTTTCTTTGGTAAAGTGTCTTCCTTTATTTTGACTTCATGTTTAATTTTTTAATTCGATTAAAACAGTATTTTTTTTTTAATTTAAAAAAAATGATTATTTTAATCTAATGTGCATGATTATGCCAATTTTATCTGGTTTTAATTAATTCTGTTACATTTATTTACTAAATGAAGGATATTTACACAAGGTAAAGGTCATTAGGGTCATAGAATGACATTTGACGGAAAGGGTTGCATTTTTGGAAGCTTGCTTACACTGTATCTCTGTTTTTATCATGTTTTCTTATCTGTCTGATTGATAGGAAGAAAACTTGTTAGTTTTCAAAAAAATATTTAAAAACAAAAAATGAAAATTTTATTTAAAGTCTAGATGACCTTATTCCTTTAGGATGTTTAAGTTCATACTAGTAGGGATACTGTGTGTTATCACACTTTATTTAGACAGTGATCCTCAAAGAAGGAAACCTGCTGTACAAAACATGGAGAGATCTTCCTATTCCTATTTACATGCAGTTCTACATGTTTGACTGCACAAACCCTGAGGAGGTCAAGAGAGGAGCCAAGCCAGATGTTGTAGAGAAAGGTCCATACACTTACATGTAAGTCCCTTAAGTCTTATAGAGAAGGGTCCATACACTCACATGTAAGTCAGTCAAGTCATGTAGAGAAGGGTCCATACACTTACATATGAGTCAGTCAAGTCTTGTAGAGAAAGGTTTATACACTTATATTGAGTCAGTCAAGTCATGGAGAGAAGCCTGCATACACTAATATAGGAGTTAGTCAAGCCTTGTAGATAAGGATCCATACACTTACAAGTGAATCAGTCAAGTCATGTAGAGGAGGGTTTAAATACTTATATTGAGTCAGTCATGTAGAAAAGGGTCCATACACTTACATGTGAGTCAGTTAAGTCTTGTAGAGAATAAAGGGGGTTTATACATTTACATGTGAGACAGTCAAGCCTTGTAGAGAAGGATTTATATATTTACCGTGAGTCAGTCATGTTGAGAAGGGTCTGTATATTTACATATAATTTGGGTAAGTCTTTTAGGAGAATGGTCCATTCACTTACAAATGAGTCATTCAAGTCTTAATGTAGAGAAGGATTTATACACTTACAGTCAAGTCATATAGAGAAGGGTTAAATACTTATATTGAGTCAGTCATGTAAAGAAAGGTCCTTACACTTACAGGTGAGTCAGTCAAGTTTTGTAGAGAGGAGTTTATACACTTACAGTCAAGTCATGTAGAGAAGGCTTTAAATACTTGTGTTGAGTCAGTCAAGTCAAGTAGAGAAGGGTCCTTACACTTACAGGTGAGTCAGTCAAGTTTTGTAGAGAGGAGTTTATACACTTACTTGTGAGTCCACCAAGTCTTGTAGAGAAGGGGCCATAGTCCACCAAGTCTTAAGCGTAGAGTTTGTTTGTTTGTTTATTCAGGAAATGGCACATAGAACATACGTTGACACATGAAATCTAGACAAATTATAAAATACAAGTAAAATTACAGAGGCTCTTAAAACAATAATATTGTATTGTAAAAAATAGATAATTATAAAAAAAGAATTATATCAATATGTCTAAATGAACATATATAGACACTGTGTATAGCCATTTACCCAGGGATGACCCATAAAAGCCATAAAGGCTTATTTCCAATGGGATCCTCCTCTTATAGGTGAGACAGATTTTGAGTGTTGAAAGATTTATGAGGGGGTCAAGCCAAATTTTTTGTTAATTAAATTAAATGGGACTGACTAAACATATACGTGGATATAAAACAATATTTTATAATAGAGTCTAAACTGATAAGAAGTCAATATCTAAAAAGACCTGATATTTATTATGGTATGAATTTAAAGAATTTTACAGTAGAAAAAGGATCTATCCAGTACATTCAAAAAAGTGGTTTTATTTATACATTGATTATCCTGTACATTTATTATAGAGAGAAGAGAATTAAATATGATGTCATCCACAACAGTAATGGTACTGTAACATACAAACAGAACAGGACCTTCCACTTTGCTCCTGAAATGTCTGTAGGACCGGAGAGTGACAGATTTATCTCCCCTAATCCAGTATACTGGGTATACACAAGTTCTCTTTTATTTACAGTTAAACTTCTGTATCTTGAACACCAATATCTCAAATGCCATGAATATGTCAGAATGAGTTGAAAGTCTCGACCACTTTTTCTCTATGTATTTTAACTTCCATATCTCTGATCTTGGCCCAACAGAGTAAGATAAGTAGGTTTGTCTGTAAGTAATTTTTCCTCCCACTAAACCTGTACACTAATGCATGCATATACATGTATATGTGTACAGTAAAACACATGTTATGAACATAATTCGTTATATCCATTAAGTTCATTTTATATTTTAAAGACATGGAAAATGAAAGTCACTTCGCTGTGAGCGTCAATACATTATAAGCATGTTCGCTTTAATCATCTTTTACTTTTAAATTATATATATATCTATTACACAGGAAAAATAGATTGCCCGAATAAAAAACACAACTGGTGCAACTGCAAAATTCATAGGGAAAAAATCCTTAATCTAGACACATATTTAAAATAACCTTAATATTTAAATTATAATACCTACCTTGATTTATTTACATTTTTTAAATAAGTTGGGGGGAGCTGATGCGATACTCTTGGGGTCAGCATTTGGAGCATGTCCATTTCCATGTAACTATTAGCCCTACAAAGACATACAATGTAGAAATAATAACAATGTAGATGCTCAGCTGTAAACTTGATATTGCATCAATGACAATGTTGTCAACATAGTGAATAAAAACAATGTAGACGATGTAATCACAATATCAGTCAACATTTTCGACATTGTGATGTTGACAATGTCAACATAGAAATCGTAACAATGTAGAGGTGTAAACACTATATCATGTCAACACTGTCTACATTAGGATGTGGACAGTTGATAAAGTGAACTGGACATGAATGAGTTTTCTGGGTAATTGAATACATGTAGTTTAAAACTTTGGAGAGTTCCATTCCAAAGTACATATAACTGTACATCCTACCCATGCAGACCTAACTTAACCATATGCAAGAATGTTTGTTTGTCGTGAGACTAAGAGTGTTGTCCCAAAATGTTGTAGACAATGTTTAAAATTTTGTCAACATTCAACCAATACTGACCAAATTTTGCATAATTTTCCTTTATCAAATGTTCCATAAAATAGTGAATTCTTAATGCTAATTATATTATGATGATTTATAAGAAGTAGGCTGATATGGTCTGTTGGCGCACAAACAAAATCTGGAATAATTTACATATATCACTGTTGCAAATGCTTTTGCTTCTCTGAAAATATGTATGCCATTAAAATCAAATTTACATATATCATTTGTATATCAAATAAATTTTTAAAAAATTAAGTAATATTTTTAAGGCAGAGGAGTGGTGACATAATTTGCAAAGTATATAATAGTAGAACAGCAGTGGAGAAGTTGTTTATAAAATTGCATAAGATTCAAATACATTTTCCACTCGATCAGCACCAAAAATAGGTAGGCGGAAGAAGTAGAGTACTGATAAGATTGTAAAATTCTGAGTGTGAGGAACATTATGGATCATGACTGACATCAAAATTTGGTATTTGACCTATTTTGGAAAAAAAAAATTTAACCTTGACATTAACGTTTAAACGGTTTGTGCTAAAGGGCTTTCATATTTCATGTAAACTTCCTATGACAAGACCTTTTAATGGTTTCCAACACTTCTAACCACTGGACCTTGACCTTAGAGTTTGACCTACTTTTGTTAAATTTTACCTTGGTCATTACTTTTGAATGGATAGTGTATTCCTTGTGACAAGACCTTTCTGTTGGAGTTTGACCTACACAGGCAACTTTGCCATATATGATCCACATATGATTTGCCAGATGGGATACTCATATTATTGAATATATTAATATGATTCTTATATGATCCTTATATGAAAGGCAATGCATGTGTGGATCATATGTGGCAAAATTGCCTATGGAAAAAGTCGCCATACAAGGGCATCAGTGTTTCACAAACACATCTTGTTATCATTAAAGATTATATGTAACAATAATCAGAATTTGTGGAAATTTAGTCTCTAAGACTTGCTTATAAATACCAAATACTTATCTCACAAAAATAAGGTGTCGGGAAAATTTAATGATCTACAGTATTCTAAATGGCATTTAATTTATTTTCACAGAGTCTGATAACTGCACTTAAGTGGGAGGAGCCTTATATAAGAAAGTTAATCAGTTATGTGACAACTTTTGAGGAGGAGTATGTCTTCATGAATCGTACAGTCAAGGAAATATTGTGGGGTTACCAGGACCCTGCTCTACATATGGCCAAAGGCCTGGCTCCAGACTGGTTCTACACAGATATAGCTGGCTATTTTATAAATGTAGGTTAATGTAACAAATACTGACTGGTTCTACACAGATATAGCTGGCTATAATTTTATAAATTTAGGTTAATGTAACAATTACTGACTGGTTCTACACAGATATAGCTGGCTATATTTTTATTGTATGTTAATGTAACAATTACTGACTGGTTCTACACAGATATAGTTGGCTATTTTATAAACCTAGGTTAAAGTAACAATTATGACTACCGGTAGTTCTAAACAGATATACATGTAGCTGGCTATTTCATAAATAACAATACATGTATCTACAAATCCACAAAATATTTTCTCATTTCCATGGCACCTGATCCCACCTATATTTTTTAGAGGTCCATGTTTGCTCTGCTCCTGATTTGTATTGTCTTAATGGACTCTGAGCTTGAATACTGTTCGTTATCTCCATATTTCATTATGTCTTATGAAATTAACTTAAAATATTTCATTAATCAAATCATTAATGCAAATAGTTAAAACGTTTTTTTTCAAGGAACCATGTATGAAGACTTCTTAAGAAGTGGGCTCTTGCATGAATGAAAATATTCAAATAATACACATGTACTATGACATATTGATCAATAATACAATATTTTACGTGATTCAACAATCTTTAAAAGATTATTTATAAACAATGAAATTTCTTTCTTCCTTTGTTAATGTGGGATTGCAGTTGCAGCCATTGCAGAAAAAAATTATGAAACCCGCTTATCTTTTACAGAAAAATGACACCAATGATGGAGTGTATACAATATTCACAGGAGAGAAAGATATAACTAAATTAGGACACATAGACCAGTATAACGGATCAAAGTAGGCATTTTATTGATTATAGATGTGTTTGAAATCTTGCTAATGATAAATTAACATATCCTTCAAATGGAAAGGGAGAGTTGTTGGAATATGTACACGTCCACTCCAATGGAAATAAATGAGATATGCAACAATCTTTGTTTGTTTAAATTGAAAATTAAGGAATCAGTTGCCCTCCTTTTATAAAGCTTTTAGCTCACCTGAGCTGAAAGCTCAAGTGATCTTTTCTGATCACATGTTGTCCGTCGTCTGTCTGTAAACTTTTCACATTTTCAACCTCTTCTCAAGAACCACTGGGCCAATTTCGACCAAAGCTGGTACAAAGCATTCTTGGGTTAAGGGAATTCTAAATTCTATAAATAAAGGGCCAAGCCCCTTTCCAAGGGGAGATAATCAAGAAAAGGCAAAAATATGGATGGGGTCATAAAAAAAATCTTCTTCTCAAGAACCACTGGCCCAGAAAAACTGAAACTTAAGTGAAAGCTTCCTAAGATAGTGTTACTGTAGATTTTAAATTTTTCAAATCATGGCCCCTGATGGTAGAGTGGGGCCATCATAGGGAATCAAAATTTAACATTGAAATTATATGTAAGAAAAATCTTTGAATAATTTTCTTCTCAAGAACGACTGGACTAGAAAGGCTTAATATGATGTGAAAACTTACTGAGGAAGTGTAAATTGTAAATTGTTCAAATCATGTCCCCTAGGGGTAGGATGTGGCTACAATAGGGTACAATAGAAGATCAAAGTTATACATTAAAATATATAGGAAAAATCTTTTAAAATCTTCTTCTCAAGAACCACTGGACCAGAAAACATGAAATTTAGGTGAAAGCTTACTGAGGAAGTATGAATTGTAAATTGTTCAGATCATGGTCCCTGGGGTAGGGTGGGGCCACAATAAGGAATCAGAGTTGTACTTTGAAATACCCCGGTATATGGGGTAATTCTTTTAAAATCTTCTCAAAAACTGCTTGACCAGAAAAGCTTAGATTTATGTGGAAGCTACCTGAGGTAGTTTTGATTTTAAATTGTTTAAATCAACATGGTTCCTGGGGTAGGGTGAGGCTTCAATAGGGAATCAAAGTTTTACATGGAAATGTATAAAAAAAAAAATCTTTCTCTCAAGAACCACTAGACCAGAAAAGACGAGACTTAAATGAAAACTTACTGAAGTAGGGTAGATTGTAAATTGTTCAGATCATGGTCCCGGAGGTGTGTGTGTGGGGGGGGGGCAATAATAGGGATTATATAGGGAAAAGTCTTTAAAACTCCTCTTTTCAAGAACAAGAACAACAAAGTCATGATGAATCATATTTATATTGAAGCCTCCTCTGGTATGCAGAATCATTTTTGTTCAAATCATGGCCGCTGTGTATAGGGTGGGGCCACAAAAGGCGATCAAAATTTGATGTAGGAAAACAAGCTTATTGGGGAAAAAAGTAACATAGAAGATTGGGGCCAAAGTGACTCATGTGAGCATTGTGGCCCGTGGGCCTCTTGTATATCTTATGTGGATACTTTTCATTTCTTTTGTATCTTGTATACATCTGATGATTTGTTTAACATTGTAAATTTATAATACTGTAAATGTAATATTAATCATGTTAATGGTGTGAGCAGATATATTGAAACATCCACATTGACTCCTAATGCTGGCAGGTTTTTCATTAAGTATTGGTTTATCAAGGGTATATTATTTATCTACACTAGACCATTAAGGAATGCATCATTAGTAATTAGAGTCCATGAAATGAAGTATATGGATGTGTCATTTTTGCATTTCTAATTTATCTTTTTTTGTCAGGTATCTGAACATTTGGTCATCAAAGTGGGCTAACATGATTAATGGCACGGGTAAGCTGAGATGCAGTGTACATAAATTGGCGTATACAAAATTTAGCCCAATCACTGGGTATTTAGTTGTTGGCAAAATCATGAATTAGCGCTATACATGTCCGTGGCGTATATTGTATTTATAAATGATTTCTTAGCGGTATTCATGAATTAGCTCATCGTTGTATGTGCCAAAGCCTCTAAAATATGAACCCGCTTTTTTAAGTACACATACAGTATATATATCTCCTTGACACAATTATTATGCTGTGAAATATTGCATTACGTGATAGACAATTTTACTTCAATCTATACAATATTTCTGTGACTCAATTCTTTAAAAGCAACCTTGTTGATAAAAGCAAGTCATTTGTAGATGCAACTATAAATCCACCATTTGCAAAGAAATCACGGGTGTCGTATGCATTTGCTTCAGATATTTGCAGGTAGGTACTACTTCATTTGTTAACATTTATAGATTAAATATTTTAAAGTAGAGTGTTTTCATGTGCTGTCTTATATCTTCACGAGACAGAAAGCAAAATGTTATAAAAATATTACAATGTAGTGCATTCAATAATTCTCTTTTGCTTTTTACTATGCATCTGTCACTCTCTACCATCAGCTCATACATTCACCCCTGCGGCATATTTCTATAAGCGTCCTTAACCTTGCTGGGGTGCGTTTGTTTTAATTCATTATAATGAAATGCCCCTGCACTAATGTTTGTCTTTTAGGTTAGATATTTACTAAGTACAACTAGAACTATTAGTTTAATTTCAAATAATGCTCAGAATATCATGTCTTTTACTTTATGTCAAAAATTTTGATGCCAGCTCATCGTAGAGGTGTCTGAGAAAGGAACGAAGCACAACTCTGCAAGGGAGATAGTGCATCTTTGAGCATCACTGAAAGCAATAACAGTTATTATTCTTTGGAATGTTTTGCATTGTATACCAATTTTATGAAATTTACTTATTTGTATACTGAATAATCATGCTACAGAGAAGGTCAAAATATGCTTGTGTTCAATGGAATTGTGCACAAAAAAAATTTCCAGTATGAATCTTGATTCTTGATACCATATTTGAAATCCAGAAAAGATTGATTCCGTGCTCCTAACCTCAATCATAAATGACCTTCCAGAGGGCATAGGAAAATCTTTCATACATTTGACAGTTTTTTAAAGGTTATGGCATGCAATGATGCTGCTTCAGTGTCATAAAGGGCATAAAATGAAGGCCAGAGGAATATTGTAGACTGATGAAAGAAAAGTCATTATTTTTTTTAAATTCTTTAAAAAAAAAAACCAATGTTGACATTGATAAGAAATTAAAGATGTTTTTCTATACAGGTCTATTGAAGGCATTTTTGCTGAGGAGGTGACGGATTCTCATGGATTCACTCTGTGGAGGTATACAGCCCCTGACTCATATGTAGATAATGCCACTGTCAACCCAGACAATAAAGGATTCTGTACCCCCAATTGTCTGGACAGGGGGCTGATTAACGTCAGTAACTGTCAAACAAGTAAGTTAGTTTGAGTAGTGTTCATATATTAGAGTTTGTTAAATGCAAGACTAAATCAAGATTATTACTTGGTATTGTGAAAAGTGCACTCTCCTTAAAGGAATTAATGCTAGCCATGAAGAGGCTAGCAAAACAAATATTAAAAACTTCAGCATATTTTTAAAAGTACAGTTGAACTTCAGTATCACAAACACAGATATCTCGAATACCATGGATAAGTCGAAGTAATTTTAAAGTCCCAAGTGCTTATTTCTTAAGTATTTTACCCTGGATATGTTGAATCCTCAGATATCTCGAAGTATTTTCTTGGTCCTGTGAAGTTCATGATAATGAGGTTTGGCTGTAGATGAAAAATTCCCAAGAGGCATGACATCTTAATCAGGAATGAGAAAAACAAAGACTTTGTTTATGCGTAATCCACGAGAGACAAAAATTAATATATGACAGACAGACCAGGATTCGAACCTTAGCCCTATGAATCACACTAGTCAGGTGTTCTATCAACTGAGCTATCTGGCCTATAGCAACCAAACCTGTCCAACCACCAGAGGATCCATTTTGGAAGTGGGAGAGATGCAAGAGTATCTTTGTGCCTCCATCCCCCCCCCATCCCCCCCCCCCCCACACACACACATGTTTTTGGTTGGAATAAAGAGATTATAGTAACTTTTTGGTCAGAATAAAGAGATTATAGTAACTATGAAATGCTCAAAGTAAGGATTGTCAAAAGAAGTTTTTTTTTGCATGACAAATATTTTGTTTGGTTGATGTATGTGTAATTATGTTAGAGTCAAGAAAATCAGGCAAGCCTTTTCCACTGAAACTATTTTTTATGTGTATAATTATGTGTTGTATTTTCTCCTTTAGTTGACTTTTTCCACATCCCTGTTGCCATTTCCCTGCCCCATTTTTACCTTGGAGCTGAGAGATACCAGAAAGCAGTGATAGGAATGCGACCAAACAAAGAAGAACACCAGACCGTTATTGATGCAGAACCGGTATGATATCTCCACGGCTTAGTATGGGATACATTGTTTGTATAAATACTCATATCAGAGGGCTAGACCATTAAAGCCAATAACAATAACTTTTTTCCCTTCCATATAGAATGATAAAAAGCATGTTTAATTAACTTGAAAATATGTAATATTGTGTTTATGAATGTTAAATTAATCTCAAACAGTCCAGCACTTAATATAAAAAAGTACTGTGGAGTCATCAATGCTTGTGGGAGACCAATGATCACAGATTTCAAGGATCGCATTTACTCATAAATTTATATCCGCATGAACAAAAACTTCATAAGTCTTCATATGGATATAATGTATCTTCTGTAAATACAAGTTACCTACAAAGAGCTATATGTGGTATTTGCCCCATAGCAAAAGTTTTGAAAATTTCTTGAAATGTGCTGAATTGTATATATTGTATGAAAAATCTTAAATAATGAACAATATTACAGTTTCAAAGAATGTTATTGGTAATTTTTGTTTCTATGACATCACAAACTATTTGGATTTTGCGTTATTTTTCAGAAAGAGGACAAAATGGACAAACCTGCTCCATAATAATATTCACATATTTCATTGATATTATCATTTTACACATAATTTCAATATATTGAGTTGGAGCAGATGTGTGCTCAGTGACTTTTATTCAAAATATCAACATGACATATATTTTTTTCTCTATAAATCATGGAAATTTTGAATTTACCTCACTTTATGTCATATCTAACATATGACGTCATGGCTGATGAAAATATTTAATGCTTTGAAATCTGCAGATATCCCCCTGGTTTAGAACATAATTCTAGATTTTTTCATCAAAGTTTGATTTTGGGGGGGGGGGGGGGGGGGCAAATATTGGTCATTAGCGAATATAGGTCTTTATGTCCCCATGAACCAGTAAAATTTTGGTCACAAACATTGACTCCCACAAATTAAAATGGTTCCATGATTCCACAAATTGTACAGTCATATGCAAATCAGTCTAAACCTTTGACATTGTATGGTCAGTGAATAAAAAAATCAACATGTATTGGACTTGAAGGAAACATTTTCTAAAGCCATTCAGCCAGTAAAGTAGGCAAAATTTCAGTGACTAAGTGAATTCTTCAAGAAAGGAAATAGTCATGGGGCTTTGCATTTGAAATTTTGAAATTTTATCTATAACAATCAAAGTATTGAAATAATCTTAATTTGGTGACAATAATGTTGCTTTACAATTTTTTATGGGAACCAATTTTTACTTTGTTATAAAAATATTGAGAGGAAATTCAGTTTATATTTTGATCCTGTATTTATCTGAGCAATTTCATTCACAACCAAGCCGCCTTGGTTAGTAAAGCACATGTACAACTGTATATACATACATGTATTTTGATGTGGAACGTACTTTTTATTCTTATTTTCAGAATATTGGTTGGGTGCTCAGAGCTGCTAAAAGACTGCAAATTAATCTATATATCCAACCAATAGAAGGATTTGAGTATGTACACATTTTTTTAACATCTTGCCAATAATTTGGGATATTGTGTTTTGGCTTTCCAGGATGTCTGGCTGTAGTGCAGTAGTTGGGGGTTTCTGAATGAATTGTCTTTGAGAGGGCAACATCAATGTATGTTGTTGATGCTTCACAAGTTAGAAATTGTAACAAATCTTGTAAGACATTCCTAAGTTCAAATTATAAAGGTAGTGTTGCAGTTAGGGAAAAATCACTGGTAAAGGTCAACTTGATTTGCATTGACTTTTTTAGATTGTCTTCAATTTAATACTTAGATCATAATGAGGAACCTTATCCATTTTCAAGTAGATAGCTTAGAGATCTAAAACATATTAAAGCAGAATGAAGAAAATGCCAAAGTTATCTGTCAATTACAAGTTAAGTTTTATACAAAGTCAGTTTTATAAATCTCTCATTATTAAATTTATTACCCCCCCCCTTTCCTCCTCTGCAAACAAAGTTTGTGGGGATATGTTGGAATCACCTTGTCTATCTGTTCATACAATCTTGTCCAGGCTATAACTTTGTAATAGAGAATTATTGGAAGGTCAGACTTGATACATAGATTGGTTGTGACATAAGGGTGTACTATGACCTTAACCTAAGATCATTCTTGCTAGTTCAAGGTCACATTTACCAGATTGCAAATGTTCACTTTAAAAAAATGCATGGTGGTGGTATTTTTGTGAGTTAGCACACAGTACCTCTAGTTAGATTTCATCTGGTTAAAAAAAAATTTCAAGTTCTGATTGTGTATGTTGCTAATTTGGCAATGGACAATTCAGACAGGGGCATTCCTGGAACATACCCATGCACTCTCAAACCCAACAAAAAAATTTCAGATACAGTTTTCATTGTCATACATTGATGTAACAAAGGTAAAATCATGGTTATTCATGTGCTTAAATAAGGTTCACTAAATTTCCGAATCTCAGGAACAAATGGGGCTTTGGTCACCCCCCCCCCCCCCCATCCCCAACTGGACACTCTGCTTGACTCACTGTGGACCTTGATGGTAACAATGCCCCTTGCCATCAAATAGTGCCCTCCCCCCCCCCCCCTTTACCACAAAATTCTGGACCCATGTCTGGTTGCAAGATATGTATTCTCAACCAAAAAGTAGAATTAAATTTCATTATGTGGTATAGATGTGACCATAAATCAAAAATAACATTAGCCTACATTGTTGGTGTAAAAATAAGAAAAATATAGTGCATGAATCCTTTCATTTTGAAAGACTTCATGATGTTCTAAACAAAAATGACACTTTCATGTCTGAGATGTTGGAGAAGGATGAAAGCATGCTGATTATATTAAAATCAATCCATTAGGGAAAAGCAAGTGCTACAGTGTGTACATGTTCTTGAAGTTCAAAACACATCTGTTGTACAGTTACCAGCAGATTTTGATTGTCAGACAGATTCTACACATCCAAAAAGCATGAATCTTTATCGATCAATCTGAGCTAGAAAATTATATCACCCTGTTTAAAGTCACACCAGTATTGCTAACAGGCATATTAACTATTGTTTGGAAATTAAAGAAATAAGCAACAATAGATATTTATCAAAGTGGATTATAATTTTGCAAAAATACAAAGCAAACAAATATATCTTTTGTCTAGTCAGTGGAATATATAAGGGAGATAAATTTCACCTTTAGAAGTTGCAGAAAGGGAGATGGATCATAAGAGTGGGAGTTTTTAATTAGAAAAATGTGTTTTCATTCACTTTGTAGAAAAGTATTTCTCATAAAGTATTATCACCCTATTTACGGTTTCCATTCACACAAAATGTGTATGAAAAAAAGAATATAAACGTATTGAAATCTAACACCCTCCTGTGCAGAAGTAAAAAATCCAGTGCAACAGCTATGTCTCTGTCCTGGTTAGTCTATTAAAGTTTTTAAAATCAGTCATTTATGTTTGACATCATGGCAGGTGCCCTTTATCAGAGAAATGAATGTCTATAGTTTTTAAGATATATCATTATCATGCACAGAAATAGTTTCTGATGACATAAATTTTATAAATAGACAAGGCTAAACAGATTGAGAAGTGATTGAGCATCAGGCCATGTCTTTTAATGCCTTTACTTATTATTTCAGCATCACCAGTGGGATCACCCCTGTTTTCTTACCTGTCTTATGGCTAAATGAGGTAATTTATCATTTATGACACTGCATGCTCTCATTTATTCTCTTTTCCAGATTTTTTTTTCTGATTTGATTTTTAGCTCATCTTGATGAAGTCAACAGTGAGCTTCTGCTATATCCATTATAGCACTGGCATCAGTATCCTGCTTCAAAATTTAAAAGTAATTCCATTTCCAAATAACTACATGTCTAAAATGTACCTGGACCAAACTTGCATGAATGATGCATTCAGGTCTCTTCAATTTTAGAATTGCTTCAGATGTTGGATCTGACCTACTTTTAAGGATGATTGACCAGTTTAAAGTTTTTGGAGCAGATCCATTCTTTATAGTAACTATACAGCCTTGAAGTTCTTGGACCAAATTAACTCTGGTGATGCCTCAAGGGATGCACAATACCAGACTTGCTTCAGATGCAGGATTTGACCTACATTTTCTGGATGAGTGACCAGATTGAAGTTATTGGAGCATGTACATTCCAAAGTAACCATTAGCCCTATCATGATTTAACTTCTGATGTGCATCTAGGGATGCACAATATCAGAAAGGTTTTTGATGCTTGTTATTAAAGATATGAAAACTGGTATTGTGTGACACTGGAGATTCAGGCATGATGAAGATTGATAGCTGGGGTTAGGTTCATACATTACCACTGGGGGAAAATGGATCAACATTTGTAGCTTGATTCAAATTTATAAAGAAATAGTACTGAAGGACTAAAAAACACCATGCAAGATAAAGATTGACAAATGTTCATGAAAGTAGTGTGAAGTATATGAGCTTCATAAATTTTGATTGATTGATACATTCCTAAACAAGCAATATACTGCATTTCTGCATGTACAAATGTAGTTATTTCAGTTGCTTGCCCCACTGTTTTCTTTCTTATTTTTTATTTGAAAGCTTTTTCATGCACTTCGTTTGGGATGTATTACTACTTCTTGTTAAAGAATAATCAAATTTGCTTTTTAGCCAGAGAATTTCCAAACTTTTTCTTTCAACTATAGGAATAAATGCTGTGAAAGTATATTTTACAACATAACAACATATGTTGTGCTATTTCAGTTTTTTTCTTTCAATTAGAATATATACTAAAAATATTCACAAATATGATATTCTTCATTCCTTTAGGATATTATCTGTAGTCCTAGAGATTTTCAAATTTATGTATCTTAAAATTGAGCCGTTTTAAGTCTGAAGCAAATGCCCAGGATAAAGGAATGTTTTCAGATATTAGGAGAGATTTGAATTTGTTTTTATAGACATGAACTACATGGTTCTGAGAATGCTGAGGTACATTTATGAATCACTGAAACTCTCAAGGAAAGATAAGAATAGATTTATGTGTTTAATTTTTTTTAGTTTACATTTCACGTGACTTTTATTGATGAATGTTAAGATTTTTATCCTTTGGTTCACTGTTTATCTAGGCCTACTATTAGTATTTGTGACTTTTTTCAAAATAATCCATGTTAAAATATATTTGAAACCTAACATATCTACCTTATTTATCTATCAACATGTTTCAGTCTCAGACATGCAACAAAAATTATAGAATAGAAAAGTACTTAAGAAAACCAGAAAGTTTAACATACTTTTATCTCACCAGAGCTGTAGGCCCATATGAGCTTTTAACTCCAAGTTTTATCCATTTTTCTGTTCTCTAGCTGTCCTCTGTGTCTGTCTCTCCTCTCTGACATTCAGCTTTACAGGTGTTCATCAGTATATATCAGTTTTAACCACACAAACTTTAACATCCTTAGGTAAGAAGGACTTATTCAAAGGGAAGGTCTTCCTCATAACAAGGGGAAAAGATATTAATCCACAAATATATAAAGACAATTCTCCTAGCAACAAATTTTGCTGGATTTCAACGCCTTTTTTAAGTTACAGCTTTCTAAAAAATTAAGAAACTTTCTGCTTTTCTTAAATATAAACTTTAGGTATTCAGTTGGGATTTTGTACATTTATGTGCATAGCAAATTTGTAGAACAAGTTTGAATTCTAAATGGTCTATTTGTTGAAGTTAAGGCTTTTATTGACTAAAAAGCAATATTTTCCAGAAGGATTTGATTAAACATAGATCTATGTTTAGGAGATAACCCCTTGTTGGGTGACATTTTGTTGTTCAAAGTAATTTTTGGTTAATCTTTGAGTCGAATTGAAATTAAATACACTGCAGAGTTGCATGTTAAGTCCCAAGTTTCGTAGACCATGAATTTAGGTCTTGCATCCACTAGGCTCAACAGTGGAGTTAGAAAATATCTTACATCTTTGAAAATCTTCTTTACTCAAGGACTTCTAGCCAGCAAACTGTTTGCAAGTCTTGATTAAAATGAGCAGCTGGCCTTCTATTTAAAAACTAAGGTTTTGAAATTCATATTGACTACACATTCACAATACATATTAAAACAGGATGGTTGAAAAAAATCATACAAATTTTGGGGGTCATTTGATCACAAGTCATTGCAAAAGGTCAAGGTTATTATAAAAGCTCTGTATAACCTAGTATGAATTATAAAAGAAAGTTTTCTAGTTTTATATAATTACTGTCTGTCAGTAAACTTAGTATCTTTATGGCATATCCATTGAATTGGGTTTTACTAATGTCTGCTGCATTGCATTAATTCTGAGGAAAGAAAGACAGCTGACTGTTTTGTGATAAAAATTCTGTCGTAAATCCTGTGTGTACCTATTGTACAGTAGTGCTTAATTAAGTGTTTGCATTTTGTGTGTAACCAACTATTAAAGCATCAATTAATTAGCCTTTTAATCTGTTGTTGACTTCTTTTTCTGTGTTTTCCAGAGTGCTGTGATTGATGAGAAGAATGCTAAGATGCTACAAGACATGTTATTCACTCCTCTCAAAGTGGTGCATGTGATGGAAATTGTCCTTATATCAGGCGGCTCCCTCCTTGTGGTGGTATCAGTTAGTTACATCATTTATAGGAGGCAAAAAAGAAAATGGGTGAGTCATTACGTGTCATTGCTAACCAAGATTACTTTCTGGCCCACAGGAAGATATAAGACTATAAGTATATATATTGCTTTCATTTGTTGCTTGTTTACACTCTGTCAACAAATTTAACTTGGGTCATGAAATACTAACTGCAGAGATAAGAGGCTATATTTTCAGTGCCAAAAGAGGTGAAGACTTCATGTTAAGTTAAAAAACAGAGAATAATTTCTGATTTTTTTGGAACTATGCCAAAAGTGACTGTCTCATTTAAAAAACATTATACAAACCATTTTTTTATGAATAAATCAAGCAAAACAATTCTTGATGAAACAAGTGTGTATATGTTTGTATAAAACCAAAGCAGCTCTTAAAGTTCATGCAGATTATTTGCTTTTTTATCTCAGAGTCCTCTTTTGGTAACCTGTTTAATCTTTGCTTATACTAAAAACTCTTATTTTAAAATGTAACCAACTGAGAACTGGTGAAGCTGATGTTATAGGTCAAACATGTCGAAAATCAAAATGAATATCAACATTTAATACATGTATACATTGGATGCAGAGTTCAAGCAAAGGGTAGAAAAAGGTAAACATAATCCCAGATTCAGCAGAGATAAAGTGCTGTTTTGAGAACATGGTGTCATACATCACATTACCACACGGATATAGGTAAAAATGACAAAGGAAATCATTCTGAGATGCAGTGGCTAGAATTAATACTAAAAAGGATGACCAATGCTGATAGTGTAATTAAGATAGAAAGGAGACAAGAACTAGTTTGATATGAGATTATGTTGAAAGTGTGATGAAACTAAGGTGTAGAAAGGACACAAGGGAAGTCTCTAAATGTCAGAAACATACTTGTCAGACTTGGAGAAATATTACAATGAAAGATAAGGGAAACTCTGTTCCCTTTGCAGCAAATGACAAGATCTTTGGAAAGGAAGTTATTTATCAGACAGGTAAGGTTAAAGGTCAAGGCTGACTGTGTTGGTATTGTGACAGCACTAAACACTGAACCCAAGTGCTACATTGTCAGGAAATTTGTATACAGAAATCAAACTACCATATAGAAAAGCAACAGTATTCAACAAAATTGGATGCTGATGACACATATGGCTTAGACACACAGACACAGCCCTCGATCTGCCCAAGGTTTGACTACAATATAGTTGTGTCAGAATGTTTGAAGATGTACAGCTATGAAACATATCATGAAAGTTTTCAGGTTTCAGTGTCTGAGCTTAAAGATAATGAAAGCCCAACTTATATAACCAAAGAAGTGGTTTCACAAAACAGAAAAATAAAACACATGTTTTTCTGTAAAATTTCAGAAACGCTAAATCAGATTTAGAAATATTTCAAGGATAAATAAAGATGTATGTTGTGTGGTCAGAATTTTTATCTGCTCTGAAAATATCTGGGTTGATTAAAGTAACGGTATATAACTGTAACCATTGATACATATAGGTTTCCAGAACTTGTTGATTTGATGATAAAGAACTGAGCAGGAAATCATTTCTATCATTCAGAGTTCTTACCAGATTATTTTAAAAATCAGATAGTCATGAAAATTTAGCATCAATACAGTTTTCATCTTTAGCTATTTTTGGCAAAAGATAATGAATAAAGTTATGCTTATATTTAAAATTTTTGTTCAATCATAAATCTGGATGCCAACAAAATTCCCAGATACATGTACAGGAAAAAAAAATGTTCAGAAGCTCTTTTTTATAGGGTAATTGGTGGTTAATTAACTGCTCAGAATTTGGAACACATGCATTGTTTAACCTTGTAGTTAATTATACATATCTTTATATCATCTTATAGGTGATTTATCTAACTTTATAACTTTTTTTACAGGCACAGAAGGACACCAACAGTGAAACTAGTCACTTGATTTCCGATGGATCATCCCACGTAAATTGTGCCAATTCCAGAAAAAAGACACTGAACAGTATATGAGAGTTTGGTTTATCCAAAATCTTACATTCCAGTACATGTATTTATTAGGCATTTGATTCTTTTTTCATTCCCAACACTGGATTTAAAAAGTGTTAATTTGTCCAGAAACAAAAAGGCACAATAACAAATCCAAACTATACCCACATTTGATATTATTTATTGACTTTTCATATATGTATTTTTGTATGTGTTTAGCACATCTGCACAGATGCATGTACTTGTATTTCACCAGGAGAAATCTGTTCTTTTGTAAAGAATTATTTAGCTATGCATCTAAATTATGTATTGCATAAACATTAAGAATACAGAAAGGAATTTGCACCTTTTACAATATATTCTGTAATGAGGCTAAAATGGTCTAAATTTCTTTATGATTCACGAAATTTATATCAATAATCAGTAAATCATGGAATTAAACTATTTTTCAATATCTTTCAACATCTTTAAATATCAGTATCTATTTTCTGAGAATTATTACATAATACATACAACGTACATTTTTATATCACTAAAAGATGAATAATCAGTTTTGGGTCTAAATAATAAAATCATTTGCAGCTGTAGTAAGCTGCTTGTTCTCCTAGCTTAATTAATATGGAAATCATATATTGTAGCCTTAAGATTATATGGAGATGTGGTATTTATTGCAGCTAGGACTGTATGGACTGTTATTTTGAAAACTAATTTATACTTTATTAATACTGATTTGTACATTTAAATATTTGATAATGGATTACTTAAGTTTTCTGTAATCAGGAATATACAATATTTTTCCATAGAAGGTTACCTGTCATTATTTGTTGTACTTGTTTGAATAAGAAACATTTCACAACTTAAGTTGTTCAAATCATGTCTTACATTGCTTATTTATCATTTCTCATCAATTATTATATTTTTAATGAAATACTCATCAATATGCTTAAGTTTATATGATTAAGAGCATCTTAAATGTCCACAATCACTTATTCCCTGTGCCAAAAATGATATGATTCAGGTCCCATCTTAATTGTTTTTTATGTACATCCTCTGTCCTTGTGCTTATTTGAATGTCATCTATTGATACACAATACCTGAACATTTGCTCAGACGAGACTTTGCCTTACTTAATGTTGTGGTGAATTCTGTAATCTTTGGTTATCCATGTTTTCTGATCCTCTTCCCCTGTCTTTTTATTTAAGTTTCACAGAGAGTTTAGAGGACCAAATTTGTTATCAATCTGTGTTTAGCAGCTTTTTTTCTACTTTAAATATAAAATTTGTTTGAAAAAAAAATTAATACTTATCATTTTTATTAATAAGTTCTATTTGTAGAATGCCATTTCTTATGTTTGTAAAGTGTTAACTATACTGAAATACATTTCCTTGTTGTTAATTTCGTAGGTGCTACAATTGTTGTTTGTTTACAGAAAAAGAAATGTATTATAGAACAGCATTTAATAGTAAAACACATAATACTCTGTGTTTCATGTAAGACTGCAATATGTAATTTGTCATTTAATATATCTTTGTACTTTGTTTCACAATCAAAATTATTAGATTTTCAATAAACACTCTAAACAACGGACAGCATGTTTTTGATTAAGACTACTTTGTTCTTGCTTAAGTATACAGACAAACATGTAAACCCAGACTTCTTATCACACTTCAACATCAGCCATTGCACCCAGAACTTACCAACTGCTTGTCATCAACTGTATATATACAATGTGCTTATTGTTATTGTAGAAAGGAGAGGGAAAGTGCATAACTTTGAAAGTCTGGTTAAAAGTACAGAAAAATCAGTTTCAAATGTTCAGTTTACATTCCAGTTGAGTGTGACAGATTATAAGTGAAGAGATTAAGTTCCCTATGCTGTCTCTGTAAGCGGTGATGTATTTGTGTTTATTGTATAGCCCCTAGGTTTGTTAAGAGAGATTATCATTCAAAAAATATGTAGACATTTTTAATAACTTTTATTTGAAAATGGGGTGATGGGGCTCTTCAAAATTAAGCAACTTACTAACAATACACTATACAATGCCTATCATTATATGATTGAAAAATTTGATTGGCTGAGATCCAACAATGTAGAAAAAATACTATTTATATTCACCTGTATGTGACCTTCCGGATGAATATTATATAAATATTGCATATAATTGAGTGTAACATTGAAAATTTTCACCCTAAGAAAACCATTGTCAACCGAGGTGCAGCCTGGGTGGTTAATGGATCAAAGGCCGTGCTCCCACCTCTGTTTTTAGAGTTCCATGTATACTTTGCTCACAGTCTGTATTGTTTCAGTGGACTTCTGAGCATGATTACTGTTCATCATGTTGAGGGAGAGTATTTTAAAAATTGTCAAGATGTTATGTTTTTAAATGTTATGTAATATTGTCAAGAGTGCTCCGTGGTGACAAAAAATGATGATTGTAAATAAATGTGAGTTCCATTTGATCAAATGCAATGAAACTATATACATTGACAAAATAAATGTTTGAACATATAGGATATAATAGTGTGTTGATCCGGCATTTCTGAAAATAATATGAAAAAGAGCGAGATTTTCTGCATGACCCTCGTAACATGGATAGGAACTTTAAGAGATTAAGTAGTTGTCGTGCCCAGTATAAGGACCTGCATCACATGAGGCTACATAGCAATAACCTAAGATCATTGGAAGTATAATACATTATACAAAATCCAAAACTTTAAATATTTTTCAAGTGATTTTTAGTTCACTTCAATGAGAGTCTCAGATAATGTTTATGGTTGAGTGAGAAACTCAGATTTTTTTTCAGCTCTTTTCAACAAGAGGCTAGTATAAATTAAATGTCAAATGTAAGAAGTTGGGCGAACAAGCGGAGAAAAATGCCTATGTTCGATCGATCGACACATAAGAACGTGAAAATTAAATCTCAGATATAGTAATTATTTCAATAGTGGGTTGAAAATGCATTTCAAAAACCAGGTTGCAACCACTATTGAAATAATGTTCACTATTAAAATAATTCAATATTATTTCAATAGTGGCCAAGAATGCATTTCAAAACCAAGACAAGGTTGCAACAACTATATATTGACTATAAAATCGCTATTTTATTAGTGGTGAAGAATGCGTTTCAAAACCACGTTTCAAAACTATTAAAATAACATCCAATAATAAAATAATTATTTCAATAGTGAGTTTTATATCAATAGTGGATGAAACATTGCAACCACTGTTGAAATAACACCGACTATATGTACTGAAAAAAATGTTCTTGTACTGTTCATAATATGAATAATCTATTACATACATGTACATGTGAGATAATAAACTTGTTGAAGATTATTTTTAGCACAACAAAATCGGTATACATCATAATTCTTATTCTTCAGTTAGATTTATATATATTTATATTTCATTAACAATAGACACATTGGGTACCACTGCTTACTCTTATTCTTGCAGATAATATAAAAGTCAATTAATTCTTATATCTAGTTCATTATCGGGTGTTGTATTGAAATATTTAAATAATTATTTCAAAAGTGAACGCTATTTCAATAGTGGTTGTACAGTGGTTTTTGTTTTGAAATGCATTCTCAACCCCTATTGAAATATTTATTTCAAAAGGGAAAAAGCTAAATGCTACAATTTCTGATATTTTGCAAATACCTCCAAGAATATAGATTAGAATTGTGAAAATTACAGGCATGTCTTTTATGATCCATACAAGGCACAACCGGAATATACAGGGCTCTCGTTCTGCAAAAGTACTATGTTACAGCTACAGTCAAATATCTTGCTTGGTTCTAAAATTGCTAATTTATAAGCTTAAATTGTTGAAAATACTTATAGAGAGCTTTAATTTTGTTGATGTCTTACAAGTGTAAGATAAAGAATTAAAACCTGCAGACGATGAAATAGATCGCTGAAGTAGAGAACATGTATTTTGAGTTAAAAGTTCCGTCGTAAAATGAGGACCACAATAGTTAACTTGTAATTAACCTTGTAGTCTAGAATCAAGTCCGTTTAAATCGTGATACCCGTGGATATCATAGGTTCTCATCTCAATATGTTAATATTATATTTCAGATATCATTGGCCTTTGTCAAATAGGCTTCAATATCTTTGTAAGATATCCTTTAAAAACTAGTTTTGGGAGAGGACTATCTAAGTTTTTAGAACTTGTGTCCAATCCCTTTGACATATTGTCAATAAAATATGTTCAAAACAAAACAAAATCAAAACAAAAACTATTTTTTTAAACGATATAAAACGATCAATGTATATTGTACATCAAAATTGTTGAAATCATGTTTGGCCAATCATGTTAAGAGTTGGGGCCGCAAGCATTTACAAGCGCTTGGTCTATGGGTCTTTGGTCTGTTTGATTCAATGCATGATTTGCCATGATGATAAATGTATAATATTAAAGGGGACATGCTTCACTTAGAATTACCAAGCATTCCCATAGAAATGGGCGTAGTGAGATTAAATAATGTTAACAACGTTGACTTTATAATGCAACTGTCTCTATTTCGTAATTTGAACTCTTTTTCTTTCAGTTTTTGCGCAAGCAAGCATGTACACAAAGACCCACGCTTCATTTATCCTAAACACAAATAACCAACCCGTCTTTCTAGTCAGTATTAAATTATTTTTATGTCTTTATAATAAAAAGGTATAGTTATTTTTTCTATTCAAGTATATTATGTTTTAAGTTGCGAGTCATGCTCAGCTTCTTTGTAAAACTTGAAGTGATATCACGTGACTTATTCTCCCAGGTGTAAACGTTCTGAAATCACATTAGCGTTTACACTTTCCGACTAACCATCTTTTTTTTATCTATTCCCTATGTTGATTTACTGACGCCTGCAGTGAAAATAATATGCTCAAAGAAACAAACTATCACTCCGCATTTATTTTAACTCCGTTTCCATGACGACTAAATATAACGGTACATTAAAGATGATAAATAAAAAGTGGGAACGAGGAAAATCATTATGTAACAAGAGATGCTTCATATTGGTGATGGAGGCCTGGTTCCCACACGAGGATTCTGCTACTGATGCTACCAATATCTCCAAAAGTCTCTTTAAGTTACGCAATGTTGTCGGTGAAGCTTCCGTTGTCTATAGTTTGGACAAAAGGAGTTTTTTCTTTAACATCTGGAACAACTAAATCTCTGTTACTGAGTTTTTAAGTTTAATGTGTATGTTCTATTGCGTAAATATCTCTTAGAAAAATTTTGGTATTGAAGATTTTTCCTTGATCCATCCATATAACATCAATATAGAAGACTTGAAAAAAAAAAAAAGAATTTTCCAAAGCATTTCTCTGTACATTTAAAAAATAACATTAAAAAACGAATTATTAATAACTGTTCAAGCATCCATCGTCCGTCTGTATGAAATGTTCTTATAAATAATTTTCCTTTATTTTGATTTTTTTTAAATGGTAGAGGGATAGACTTCATCGGGATGCATATTTCTGTTCATTGATTTTCACTTTCCGTGATTTGTATTTATATATATAAATGCTGTTATAAACAAAAAAAATAGACAATCCCTTTAATCAAATTATTCTAAAAGAATACTCCTCTCATTTTTTTTTTATTTTAATAATTTTCGGATATACATAAATATAATCATGCATTCATTTTCAATTTTAGTGAACTGTGTCTATTAATTACTATTTAAGCTACTTTTTTGTTTTTATTCCTTGACCAGTACAGAAAACTAGCAGCTTTAGAAATGTACTACGTAAAAAAGCTTTGTGCGTCGTTTTGATGATTTGATTAGTACTTACCATTCAAGAGTTTTTGACTAATTTTAATGTAACTTTGTAGTTTGCTCTTTTCACGCATCATTTCTGTGCAGTAATGAACAGTATTGCTCAGTTACATGTACGTTACTTGAAATATAAAGTGTTTTCCCCTTAATTCAAAATTCTACATCCCAGTTTGATTTATTTTGAAATACGTTCTTCTTCACATGCAAAAAAAAAAAAAAAAAAAAAAAAAAAAATCAATTGAACAAGGATCGCACATTTTGTAGGAAGTTCCGGGAAATGTTACATAGACATTTATTTCTGACTATTTAAAAAAAAAAAGGATGTACATCTCAGTCAGCTCATGATTTACGGTACCTTTTATTACAAAAAATAAAGTAAAAAGCGACAAGTGCCCGCCAGACAGGGCATTTAATCGTTTGAGCATCAAAAAGGACGGCTGAATAAAAGAGTTCTGAAATTTTAGTATGGTGATTATTTTGGGGGCGGGGGGTGGGGTTGAGCGATTAATTGAATTGTGTGATCGTTTCAGTGCACAATTTTAAGGTCATAATTCATTCTAAAAAATAATAAAAAACCCACAGGTGTTTGTTGACAGGAACACAAATGTGACCCCGGTGTGTATAACTGGGGGTGGGGTGTTTCTGTCCATAAACACCTGTGTAAAAATCATGTACATGTAATATACCTTCATATTACAATCAATAATAGGTCATAGCTATCATTGTTGCATTCTGCTCAGCAAAGAGCTTAAGACAGATATGAAGTATGCATGAATGACATCATTATACATTTATTAACTGGCTGG